CTCTTGCTTCCACGACCGGGCTGGATTGAAATTGGTCTTTTTGAACCTTCTTTTCTTGCCCTTTTTCCTTCATTTTCTTGGATTAATTATCCCTGAAACTTATTCTTAGCATTAAGCTAAATTAAGGCAAAAATTAATAAAACCGGCATAAAAATCCATGCTAAAGTCCTCAAAAATTATAAATAAATTGTAAGTTCATCATAACTCGCCGCGGAATGAGCTCGCTATAGCGTGAGCTCAAGGACCTTGGTATGTGGAAAGGGAATACTCCAAGCCAAGTCTATCCCAGCTTGCAAGTTGAGAGAATCAGCTCGCTCCGATACTTAGGCAAGAAGACTACCCCAAAGGCAACCTCGGGCGGAATCACCTTGGGACACATCCAGGAGCTCGCTACAAGGCAGCTCACTATGGGATAGCTCGCTGTTAAGCGACGCAACGTTCTCAGGAAGCTTCTTATCTGACGAGACCGTACCCGTCAGACTGCATCACGTCTCCTGACTGACGGTGCAGTCCCTGCCAGCCCAGCAGACTGCACCCACGTCTCTCGACAGGTGGTGGCGTGTCTGTCCTTTCCGGGTCGTGTCTTTCATCCGATTGGGCAGTAGTCTACAATAGTTACCTATGCAGCCCTGGCAAATAACGTCTGCGACAGAGGGCCAGTGGCGGTTACACCCGATTTGACAAGAACTTCCGCATTTAAAGGCCCCACGGTCGAAGGGGCGAAAGTATCTTGAATTTTACTGATCTAGCGCTCTCTGCACTCTTAGCTCTCTTTGCATCCCTTACAGCTCTCCCAAGTATTCTAACTTAAGCATCAGAGTATTCCCACCGAGCGGGCTCCCCGGGAATCCTTTACCTTCCTTTTCTCAGGTATCGTCTGTCGCCAGCTAGGAGTGCCCGGATTGCGCTGCATCATTAAGATTTCTAATTTTAAATTTAGATGGTTGCATCATTTATCCTTTTGTTAGGAGAAGCCACGAACTAAGCTTCACATGAGCTATTTGAGCTCAACTCAGCTTGATCTAAACCAAGCTTTGAGCCGAGCTCAAGCCCAATGAAACTCGGCTTGTGAACTGACATATATTTATATATAATAAATGATTTTTATTATATAATAATATTTTATATATAATATTTTTATTTTTATCTATAATAGTAAATAATTTTTATAATTCTTAATTTTTGTATATAAATTAAAAAATACTTTCATAAGTATAATTTTTATTAAAAAAACATGGATTGTAATTGAACTCAAACTTTTGAGCTTTGAATCAAGCTCAAATAGCCAAGTATTCGTCTCCACTCAACTTGAATCCACCCCTACTTTTTGTAATTCATTCATTTTTGTGTAAATTAATCAAAAACCTTTTCGCTATGCAGTTATTACATTAAGAGATTGGTGTGGATCTATAAATATTCATGTCCCAAGTAAGTTTGTGAGCAACCCTTGTTTGTTTTTTTCACATTTGCATGGGTTAAAAATAGACAATTTTAAGAATATACAATTCTAAGTTATCAAATTAGTAAGTAATAGATAATTAACATGTAATAACCCTATCAACTTTTACTAGAAATTTTATTTTATCTCTCACTCCCCTTACTTCGCTAGTTTTATACTATTTTGGGTTCAGGCTTTTGATCAGATTCATTCAATTTTTTACACCTCTAGCTAATGGGTTTGCTGGTAAATTTAAAATTATTAAATTGTTTATTCAAAAATCTAGGCTGATATTAACAAATATAAAAAAAAACCTGAAGGGTAAACTGGTCTCAGGAAACAAACCAAGGGTAATTTAGGGTTTAAGAAAAAGACAAATGTTATGACTTACGAGAATGAAAATTTGACCACACCATGCAACCCCTTTACTAGCATGCGTCCTACTTTATGAGTTATGAGTTATGACCCCGGTCCCCGGGTCCTACTTTGTGACCTCAGCTCCCATGAATCCATGAGACGATGAGATGAGTGTGGCTGAAGTTTTTCTACATCGTAATATTCTCATAGGCTACTGCTACTGTAACCGTTTAAAAAGTTCTCCACCGATGTTAATTGGCAGGAATCTAGAATGCAAACGAACGGCCGAACGCCTGAACGGGGCTGTGGGCAAAGAAATAGCTCATACGCCGTTGGCTGTTGCAACGTCTAATCAAAGCACAGGGACGATGTTAGATCATACGGGTTAGTCCAACTCCAAACAGCGTGGCTTACTGGCTAGCCTACCATAGATTTTTTATCTTGTTATAAATTTCCAAGGACCCTTCTTACAGGCCAAGAATCGAATAGGATTGAGGCGTTGAACTTCTGATCAACAACTACAGCAAAGAAAGAACAAACCGCCTTTGCTTATGGCCGGGGTTAGCACCATTTCCCATACAGCTCCCTCCCTCCCTCTTGAAGGCCGGGTCGCAATTGTCACTGGTGCATCGCGCGGAATTGGCCGCGCCATCGCTCTCCACCTTGCCTCTCTCGGCGCGAAGCTCGTTCTTAACTACGCCAACAGTTCTACCCAAGCCGATCTCCTAGCCGACGAGATCAATTCCTCGTCCCCTTCCCCTCACCCTCAACGAGCCATTGCGGTCAAGGCCGACGTCTCTGATCCCGCCCAAGTAAAAAGCCTCTTTGATCAAGCCGAGCAAGCATTCGGCGCAGAGCCCCATATCCTCGTCAACTCAGCCGGGGTGATTGACCCCAAATATCCAACCATAGCAAATACCACTGTGGAGGATTTCGATTCCATCTTCAGCGTCAACACAAGAGGAGCGTTCTTATGCTGTAGGGAGGCAGCCAATCGCTTGAAACGTGGAGGTGGAGGACGGATCATATTGATTTCGTCCTCAATGGTAGGCGGGCTCAAGCCGGGGTTTGGAGCTTACGCGGCATCCAAGGCGGCGGTGGAGACGATGGTGAGGATTCTGGCGAAGGAGCTCAAGGGGACGGGGATCACTGCCAACTGTGTGGCGCCGGGACCCATAGCGACTGATATGTTCTTTGCTGGCAAGGGAGAGGAGCAAGTGAGGAAGGTGATCGAGGAGTGCCCTCTGAGTCGACTCGGTGAGACCCAAGACGTGGCCCCTCTTGTTGGGTTTTTGGCTACTGATGGCGGCGAGTGGGTTAATGGGCAGATCATTCGCGTTAATGGTGGCTATGTGTGAAAGCATTATTCTGGTTCTGGGCTGTTGGATCTTGTTGTTCGATAGCGATTTGCCTCTTTTTGTTTCTTTTCTGTTCTTGTGCAGTTGATCGGAGTTGCTATAAAGAAGAATAAATAAAGGGATTCACAGAGCATCCGTTTGTTGGGACATTTTGTCGAGCACTTCATACTCGAACGAATATTGTCTGAAGTCTTAACACTATCTAAATTACAATTTTGCCACTGATATCTATTCCATAATCCATATCTTAGAGATCTAACGGGTGAAATCAAACGGCTAAAAATACATTACATCAGGGTTAGGGTCGGTGAATCGATTTCTAAATATCTGCCACGTGTATGGTTCTGAGTTCAGACATACTAAAAGCTTTCTAACGTCTATCCCATCGCCGTGATGCCGTGATGGAAGGAACGAAAAATTACTGTACGAATCGAAATTCCACGTTTGCCCTTCAAAAATGGAGACATGACGAGGCCATCATGGTAATTGCACTGTGTTCCAGAACTAGAAGCATGTATAAAAAGAAAACCTATGAAACTGGCAACATCAGGTAAGATATCTGGATGACCGGACAAATGAAGCCCTAACCGGTAAGCGGTTATAAATAGTTGGGGACGAATAGAAAAAGGAATCCACTGACGTCCGCTCGTTCCAGCTTTTTTCCATCTCCTGGGCATCGAAATCGAACCCATCCCTCCCCACCTCTCTTATAACCACAGCCAAACCCTAAAACCCTCTATTATGCTCCAGATCCTCTCCTCTAACCTATAAAAGACAACCGTTTTCAAAATTTTGCCGCTTCTGATCGATCTTCTCATCCGAATTCGACACGAGTTTCGTCAAAATTTTGTTCGGATCGTTTTGAAAACCCTAGGTTTCGAACAGAAATATCTGATATCGTACTGGAGAGACAGAAAGCTTTCGAATCGTTGCATCATCGCTGGTTTTCGTCTGACAGTCGACCTTCTTCGTTTCTGACTGAAATTTATGAAAACTTGGTTCCGATCGTTCGGATGATCAAGATTCGAAGTAATCTGGTCTGGTTTTGTTTTCTTCTATAAAACACTTACTCGCTTCAGTTAGATATCCGTGGATTTCTTTCGTCGCCGCGAAAACTCTAAAACACTGAACTAAGAAGCTGATCTAAGCTGGTAGGAGGAATAAATGATCCTTTATAGACCTTCCTATTCTTTGCTTTTCAATCTTGGATAAACCCGAAAAAGAATATATCCAATTTTTCTGTGGGGAGGAAAGAAAAGCCTGAAGGTGGGAAAGAATTTAGTCTGATACTCTGATCTCAGTTTTCGAGTCTTCACTGTGGATTGGTTAAAAACCAGAGGAATCTGAATCCGAGGGGGACATGGCCGATCAAGTCTTGGAAGGGAGCCAACCTGTAGATCTTACCAAGCATCCCTCAGGCATTGTTCCTACGCTACAGTAAGTCTGCTCTTCTTCTTCTCAAGGAAGGTTGTCTGATATATGATTTCTAAGCGAAATATTCGTTGGATGTTAATGCAGCTAATTGATTAGCATTGGCTATTTTTATGTGATATCTAGCTGTTCATATGCCCGTGAAATTTAAATTGATGTCTTTTCTATTCCTTTTGCATAAGCAAATAACGATAAAAAGTGAATGTAGAACATTTTTGAGCGACCGGGTGTTCTTACCGAATATTGCAAATTAAAAACTAATCCTCTTACTGTGCGGTTTTCACATGATGTACTGTTTTGATCCTGTAGGCTGTAGCTAATCTACAACAGTGGTCGCCCATTCAATCGCTTACCAACCTAAAGAGAAATCATGTACTAGGGGATTGTAGTTACATAAAATAGAGACAACATGAAAACGTTGCTATTTCTAATCAATCTCATGGGATGGGATTTACTTAATTTGGATGTATACGGCTTGTGTATTGCTCATCGCCTGTGTACTAAAGCTGTTAATGCAATTGGTGCTACGGGAATAACTGGAAGCATAGTCATCATTCTGTACATGTACAAGCCCATGTTTTTTCAGATTATTTTGCTGTGATTCTATGATTTATTATAATTTATAAAAAAAATCTATGATTCATTATATAGCTGGCCATCTGCATTGTCCAATTAGTTTGACAACATCGCTTATAGTCACGAAGTTTGAGACTTGAAACAACTGTAGAATGTGAAATTGAAGAGCTAAGTTTGAAATTAAAATGAATTATTGTTGCATATTGAACTTTAAGTGAAGATAGTCAGTCTATGTTACATGGACCCTTCAAAAGGAATCTTGTATCCATGCTGGACGCTTGAACTCGTATTGGTATTATTATTATTATTATTATTATTATTATTATTATTATTATTATTATTATTATTCATAAATGAACACTTGAACTATTATGCCCTGTCCATATAACATGGTCAAAATGGACAGTTGATTTGCTTGATTCTCCAACTGTTTCTTGGTGTTTCAGGGGTGCCTTTTTGTCTTTTGAAAGACACACACACACACGCACAAAAAAAAAAAAACTTGCAGGTGATTTGTGGAGTTGGCAAAAGCATAGAAGGGTGTTTATCAAAGATATTATCCCTAGTTGAGGATCAGCCAGTAGGGCTGTTTTCTCAACTTTTTATAGTGGTTTTGGTCTCCCCTGTTTCTTCCTATTGTGTCTGGTGATGAAGGAAAGTTTCATGTCCTTGTAAGACTTTTTCTGGTTAAGGAAAGTTTCATGTCCTTATATGACTTTTTACATATAAGGGTAGAAAAATAAAAATTATTACTGGCTCTATGCAATGTCTAGTTACAATTGATACTGAACCAGAATAGCTTCTCCCCTTCTAGAGAACACCTTTGTTAGTACTTAGGGTTGCACATCAAACATTTTCTACCAAAGTGCTTCACAGAGGGTCTCGTTCCTGTGTATGCCCACTTGAAGTTAACTTCTCAAAAGCAGTACCAACCTTCCATCTCCACCCTTTTATTCACAATGAATTCGTATCACCTTACTGGATGAAGTTATGTTGCAGTCTGATTATTCTGTCTTTTAAGCATGATTGAATGTTTTGTCATGACCAAAATCTCAAATGGACTTTCAAATTAGCATCCTTGTAGATGGTTGTATTCCTTGATGATGGGAGAAAAGGTTAACACTATATTCTCCAAACTGTAATCTATCTTGAATATTGTGTGATTCAGCGGTGACAGTACTCTCTAGTGCCTTGGATCATAAAATGCAACTGCATGTGATTTTTGGGACTGCCTCTTCTCTAACCATTGTTGGCAATAGCTAACCCGTTTCATTTGGTCATTTAGGAACATTGTATCGACTGTCAACTTGGATTGCAAGCTGGATCTTAAGGCCATTGCACTACAAGCTCGTAATGCAGAATATAATCCCAAGGTGCATTTCAAAATATGACCCATTTTTTTTCTTGTTTTGCCTCTTTTCTCCTTGCTTTAGCATCACAAAAGAAATGGATGAGATGTATGTTACCCTTTGAAATTCAGCTCATTTTTTTGATTGCCTATGATCATATTTTGGGTATGGTGTTTGATTTAACCAATAACAAGTATTTAAATGTTGTTGGGAGTTTTTAGATTTTGGGGTTTCTTGCCAATTTCATTAGTTGCCTGTACAGATCTCATAGGATTAGAATTCCATTAGTTTCAGTCCTAAAATAGAGACAAACAATAGATAGAAGAAAAAGGATAGGGTAGAGGGAATGATTACAGCATTGTTATTTCTGCTTGTCACTTTGTCATTTGACCTTATATCGCGGTTTTGAATGAAATATATATTTTTTTTTTAATTTCAATGTTTGACTTTTCTTTATGGATTTTGACTGAGATGTTGTAGTTGGTTTTGTGCCAAGTTGAATCTTTTTTTGAAGCAGTTTACCTTGTCCATCACCAACAGTGATACTGCTTGGTTAAGAAAAAGCCCCACTGAGCCAACAACAGGAGTGCTATCCTCTTATATCCGGTTTCCAACATTCGTTTCTTATTAAAATTTGACTGAGATAGAAGAAGTTATGTGGTTGGCTTAATATGTATAGATTATAAATAGAAATTACGCTAATGAATGCTTGGTATTTGATTTAGAATTGTTATAATATGTTTTGGGATGTGGTTGGCAGGATTAAGATGGAGAAAAGATGAAGTTTTGAAGGTGTTTGGGTAGAGGAGAAAACCGATTATGGAACCTCAAATAGGTCTATAAGCTATTGGGTAGAGGAGAAAACAAGCACAAGCTGCTTGTTTTCACAACATAAGCTGAAAACTGATGAGAGAGACTGAAATTTAGCTTATGCGTGTCTTGAACCATGTTGTCTCTTTTTTCAGGACTAGTGGGTGAAGGCGACTTTGTAAGGGCAGAGCTATTAGCAGCAGTACAAGGTATACAGATGGCTAGTCAAATTGGAGTGAACAATTTGTTAGTAGAAGGGGATTCCAAAGTGGTAGTGGGCTGGCTGAATAGCCCAGATTCAGCTTGCTGGGGCTATAGGGATCTGTTAAAGAAAGTTAAATGGATGACAAGAAGTATGACTGTCAGATTTCAGTGGGTCAGCAGATCAGCAAATGCAATGGCTGATTCTCTGGCCAAACAAGGGGTGTCAAGGGGAGATCTGTTTTGGGCTACTTTGTAATTCGTGTTTCAGGCTTGGGCTTGTTTAGTGTAAATGATTCAGTTCTCGGGGGAGGTAACATCTCGTGCCTCTTCCTAGGCTGATTGTATTCTCTTATCTGAATTAATAAAACTTCTCTCATTTATCAAAAAAAAAAAACCTAGTTCCAAACCAAAACCTTAAAGTTAGCTAACAAATGAATGTTATTGCCTGGTTATTGTACCTATAATAGGAGTGTAAGCCCTTTTCCAATATGGCCAATCCTTGTAGAATATAGAATATAAAAATGGTCAAGCTTTAAAATTTCATTTTGGTTAGGTTTTTTTTGATGAATAATTTCATTTTTGGTTAGTTGATCATTTATATTTCCATTTGCATCTGTATTATTTGATTAAATGTTTACTCTTGGAGCTTTTAAAGTTTCATTCTAGTGTATGATGATTGCTTATTTGGTAGGTGTATGCATAGACCAATTTATCATTTCATTATGTTTTATTTGTAACAGCGTTTTGCTGCTGTTATAATGAGGATAAGAGAACCTAAGACTACAGCATTGATCTTTGCATCTGGAAAGATGGTGAGTTGTTTCTTTAAGAATCTTACAATGTTTTTTGGCCATTAGATAAGTAATATGAATATCTTTTGGCTTTTATAATTGTTAGAATGATAATTTTTTTTGGTTGGAAACAGTAACTTCATTAAGAAAATTAGGAAATATCATGTTCAACTGTCAACCCCAGAATAGGTGCTAACCCCCAAAGACCTTTTTTACAATTCTGCCCAGAATAGCCTTTCCCTCCATATCCCCTGTTTAGCTAAAGTATTGACTAGTCCATTTGAAAGAAGCCCCAATCTCCTTTGTTATGTCAGCGATCTCCCTTATAGCATGTCTATAAATCCAAGCTCTCAAGCTGCCTGATTTCAACCAATCAATGAGCATTTTAGAGTCTCCTATCTCTATTTGGTTCAGCCCCATCTGTTTGGCAAATCTTACACCTTGAAGCAAAGCCATTACCTCCACCCTCAAAGAGTCACAGACTCCTATAGGCCCTGAATACATAGCGGCAATTTTACTGTGTCCATCTCTAAGGGTCCATTTGGTTCGTAGTCGGAATCGGAATCGGAATTGAAATCCTCCGGAATCGGAATCTGAATGTCCATTCCCATAGTCTGTTTGGTTCAGACAGGAATGAGAATGGGAATTAAGGGTCTGTTTGGTTCGTAGTCGCAATCAAAATCGGAATCGGAATCGGAATCAAAATCCTCTGGAATCGGAATCGGAATGGTCCATTCCCTCAAATGGAGGAATGCCATTCCAGCAGGAATGGGAATGAGATTCCGATTCCGCCCAACCAAACAGTTGGAATCAGAATAGCCCATTCCGATTTTGATTCCATTCCCATAGTCTGTTTGGTTCAGACAGGAATGAGAATGGGAATTAAGGGTCCGTTTGGTTCGTAGTCGCAATCAAAATCGGAATCGGAATCGGAATGGTCCATTCCCTCAAATGGAGGAATGCCACTCCAGCAGGAATGGGAATGGGATTCCGATTCCGCCCAACCAAACAGTTGGTATCAGAATAGCCCATTCTGATTTTGATTCCAGACCCCTATTCCCGCGAACCAAACGGGGCCTAAAATCAGAAGGAATGGGATTTCATTCCCGAGGGGCAGGGAATGACCATTCCCTCAAATGGGGGAATGCCATTCGAGCAGGAATGGGAATGGGATTCTGATTCCATCCAACTAAACAGTTGGAATTGGAATAGCCCATTCCGGTTCTGATTCCATCCAACCAGACCCCTATTCCTGCAAACCAAACGGACCCTAAATACTCCCCCAATTCCTGACAGTCCAGGGTTGCCTCTTTGGCTCCCATCAAAGTTTAGCATTAATCTGTTTGTGTTGATGGGGACGATAGCTCTTGCACTTTAGGCCAAAAGGAAGTAGCTGCAACCTCTCTCCAGTTTCTGTAAATGTCTTCAACTGAGAAATCCTTAAACAGGTTAATTGATTTCAGCCAATCTATGACTTTGATGGATATTCTATCAATAGTTTCCTCCTTAGGTTTCTCCACTCCATTGAAGATCCTACTATTTCTGTCTTCCCAAACTGACCAGAGAATCGCTACTCTTGTTGGCTGTTGCTCTCCACATGACTCTACCACGCCTCTTCAGTTGCTTGACTTGGGTTAAACAGGCTTACCATGTCCAAGCGAGGTGTCCACCTGTTTCCAAAGAGAGAAGAAGAGAACCAAGTCCAAATAAAAAGTACAAAGGGACATGAGATTAAAAGGTGTGTGATGGTCTCACCAGCACTCAAGCAAAGACTACAAACATGGGGAGAGAGGCAAAAAGTTGGCCTCTTTTTTGCAACATATCTAGTGTGTTGATTTTTTGAACTACCACCTCCAAACAAAAAGCCCTAATTTTTGGGGGTACAAGACTACACCGCACTTCCATTGATGGAAAAGTCCCTATAGTGTTAGAAGATTGAAGGGCCTGAAAGAAAGAGGCACAAGTAAAGACTTCAACCAGGGAAGGTTTCCAAATTCTACTATCTGGACAGGATTGATCCTAAAAGAGTAATAAGTTTATCCAGCATTGCCATTTATGACTCCCTTAGGTGTCTCCTTAATCCCAAGTCCAATGAATTATTAAGACAAACTAAAGAGATTACTTTTCTTTTATTCGCTAAAAGTGAATAAATAAAGTGCAGGTGTTAAGATGACACCCCTAAACTACCCAAACATCTTCCCAGAACAACACTTTTTTCCCTGCACAAGCATCAAATTTGAAATAAGGAATCATAGAAGGCAAGGTACCATGAATCACAATCACTTTCCAAGTAGAATAACGAGAAGCCCTAGGATTTGGACCCGAATCCCAATCATTGTCTGCTAATCCGTGAATGCTCACTATAACCCAGTACCACAATTTGTCTTGTTCCAACGACATTCTCCATAACCACTTCCCAACAAGGCTGTATTTCTTAACCTAATATTTCCTATTCCTAAACCTCTGTCATATCTACACCTAGAGAGTAGAGACCATCTTCCACTTCATTAACTGATCCTTCCTAGTGTTCCCTTGTTCCCACAAGAAGTCCCTCATGATCTTCTCTAACTGGTTTGCCACTTTCAATGGAATTTTGAATGTTGAATGGAAGTGCACTGGTAAATTGGCCAGTGTTGACTTTATAAGGGTTATCCTACCCCTCAATGAAATGTAGTTTCTTTCCAATTTGCTAGTTGGTTGGTGAATCTCTCAATCACTGGGTAAAGCTATTTGAGTTTGGATTCCCTCCCAAAGGTTGCCCCAAATACTGTAATGGTCAATCTCCCACTTCACACTCCAAAATCCTAGCTAAAATATTCACCTCTTCACTTTGTAGGTTCACTCCCGTCACAAAATTCTTACCCCAATTCACTTTAAGGTTGGATATTCTCAAATCTATTCACAAGCCTCTTTAGGTTCACAAGCTCTTCTGGTTTTCCTTCACAAAATAAAATAATGTTATCTGTAATTTTTTTATCAGTAACTCGTGAAAGGATTTTATTAATTTTAAAAGAAAGCAGAGAAACAAAACATTGTGGAAGAAACAATAGACACCAAATGTCTAAATGCCCCGAACATATTACAGCTGAGCCCAAAACATACTGTCTTTGAACCCCTTGCTTAGCAAAACCATCTGCCAGACTATTGGAAAATCCAATTAAACTGAATAAACATGCCATTATAGAGCCATTTGAAATGCCTAAGGGGACATTCCTTAGATGCCAAGACACTCCCTCTCCCTTCTTTAGCCATTCTACTACTGTTTTGGAATTGTCTTTAATAATTAATCTTTCAGTACTCAATTCTTTTGCTTTCTCAACACCAAAAACAGCAGCCAAGAATTATGCCGATGCTATATCTCCTTGCTCAATTGGACCTGAGAAGACAACACATATATTTCCTTCCTCATCTCTGGTTACACCTCCAATTTCGGAGGGGCCAGATTGCCCACACAACTCCCATCAAAATTCAGCTTCAACCAGCCACTTGATTGGGTGACCAGTCCACTGTAGCAATCTGTCTTCTAAAGGAGCTGATTTAAAAAAAGAAATCTGTCTTATAAAGGAGGAAGCAGCTATAGTTCCCCAAGATTTGAAGAAATCATTGACCTGAAAGCCTGAAAACAGACCCAAAGTTTTAACCCAATGAGCCACCCTTAGGGTTATGATCTCGATCAAGGCTTCCTTATTCCTTTCTTTGTCCCCGAATATTCTTTAACTTAGTACATCTCCACATATGCCTGCCTCTTCTATTTGTACAATTGCAATTTGAAGGGCTAAACAACCCTTCCAAGCTGACAGGAAGAAGCCATCTGCAACCAAAAGGAGAAGCAAATCAATCCTAGATAAAGCTGACAAAGGGGCAAGTGGTTAACAGCTCAAAAGCAGTCTCACCATTTAACTTACATAAGCAGCACCAATTGGGGACAAACACCAGTTTCGTCTCTTCCTTTGGAGCTTATACAAGTGTTAATGCAACCATGATACACTTCCTAGCAGAAAGCACCGACTCTAGGAGGAATGGGGGAACACCAGATTAACAGGGTAAAAGGGGAATGGGAAGAAGAGGAATCTACAAGTGAATTAAGCAAAGATTTACAAGTGAAGAGCCCAACATGAGAGTCCATACCTTACTATCCACACCCCCATTCCTAAGAACCACAGGATTCAGTAGTGTAAGCAAAGTAGACACATTGGCAATTTCAGATTCTCTAAGGATTCTAGCGAAGCCCAAGTTCCAATTTAACTCAAGAGGGGAGACGGGGGCTAATAAATTCTGACACTGGTCTACCTTTATCTTCCCGAAACCTAATCTTCTGACTTGAGACCAAGTCAAACCTAATGTGGCTGAGGAAAATAGGAAGAGAATCATGGATGGATTTCTAGGGAGTAGCCAAGGTAGCTCTATGAAGACAATCGGCATCCCATCCGTTGTTTGACAGCCCGTGCACAATTGCCACCACTTTATGCCAAAGCCTTTGATCTTCTTTTGGAAATCGCCAAAGCCATTTACTCAATAGTGCCTGATTCTTTAATCTCATATTTCCAGTCCCCAATCCCCCTTCAGCTTTAGGTTTAATCACCTTCTCCCAACTATGCAATTGATCTTTCTTCCTTTCCCCAAGTTCCCACAAAAAGTCTCTCATAATCTTTTCAATTTTTTTCACCACAACTTGGAGCATCCTAAAAACTGACATATAGCAGACATGTAGGTTAGCTAAGATGGATTTAATTAAAGTTATTCTCCCTCCCAGAGAAATGTAATTGCGTTTCCATGCTGCGAGTTGCTTCTTAAACCTTTCCACTATCATCGCCTGTCTCTAAGGAAAATAAAATAATGTCACAAGCAGTGTGTGACCACCGCTTCCTCCCTCCCAACTCTCCAACCTCTAGGCATATTATCATCATCTGCGTTTAGAAGGATCAAATTTAACTCAGCAAAGCCTTATCCAAATAATATTGCTTCCAAATGAATAACTTTAATTGATGTCGTTGCTCTTACTACATAGCCTATGGTTGTATCCCAGGGATTGGCTTGTATGATGAGTTTAGCATTGTCATCTGTCAGAGTATTTTATTCCATGGAGTTTTTTGGATGAAAAGTTTTATCTTGTTGAAGTTCTCTTCATTGATAATTTTACTAAACCTGCTGTTTCAGGTCTGTACTGGAGCCAAGAGTGAACAACAGTCAAAACTGGCTGCAAGGAAGGTGTGATGATACATCTACTGCGCTGGTGTTATTTCCCAGAAATTTTACCAGAAGAAAAGAAGAATTAACACATTCTCTATTGGTGTACCATTACTAAGATGTTTCGAATTTGGCATACCTATCTCAATTGGTGCTTAAGGCTGTTAAACTGTTGCAATCAAGGATTGGAATATTGATATGATATGCCCGATATAGGGATGTCTTATCTCTATCTGTGCATACCTATACGAGATATTGTACAAAGAAGGGCAAACCCTTTGAATCATGTATCGGGCTGGTATGGCCTGTTTCAGGGTGTATCACATTGTATTGGTCTGATACGCACTGATACAAACCAGTATGCATTGATACAATGCTTTGTGTCATGTTTCTCTATTTAAAAAAAAATGCTCCTAGTGTACTCAACCCCAAGTTACATTTATATCCCAATCTTAAATGCACCATTTAACCACCAAAGCACCTTGCTTCTTGTGATAATAAATGAATTATAATAACTTTTATTCACTTTTATGTCCAAATGCAATTCAAGCAAATACATATGCTTATGTTCAACAACTCCAACTAAAAATTAAAAAGAAAAATATTAAAAAATGGTATTTTATACGCTAATGGAATAAATAATCTATCAAATCTACATTTATATAAAAAAATGATTTTTAATCTCAAGAAATTTATACAAAGAATATTAATAATTGAATAATTATTTTAGTAATTAAAATTTATAAATTTGCACATGATAATTATCTTAAAAAATTTTATATATTATGAATTATTATTTTTATTTACATTAAATAACAACATATTTGTTATTTATAAAACTAAGAATATTGTTTACAAAACATTCAAGAATGTAATATTAAATTGAATTTATTAAAATTTCTAATCTACATTTATATGAAGAAGTGATTTTTATTTTCAGAAAATACAGAAATAAAAATATAATGAGCTTGCATATAAATTATTCTGATGCAGTACTTTGTATTTTTACCAGTATGCTCGAATCATTCAGAAGCTTGGTTTTCCAGCAAAGTTTAAGGTTCTCTCTCTCTCTCTCTCTCTCTCTCTTATATGAACATACAAACATATGCACATACATCATACACTTGCATCTCACTTGTATGTTTCTTACTTTGGTGTGGTGGGCAGGACTTCAAGATTCAGAACATAGTTGGCTCATGTGATGTGAAATTTCCAATCAGGCTTGAAGGACTTGCATATTCTCATGGTGCCTTTTCAAGTGTAAGTGATGTTTTTTCACACTCAGCTTGCCAATATGGTCGTGAATGGTTGCAATCATGTATTTTTTTGGGTTTTTGGCTTGGGATTTCTTATTTGAATGCAGCTGTATCATGTTGGTACAGTATGAACCGGAACTGTTCCCAGGCCTGATCTATAGGATGAAACAACCAAAGATTGTCCTTCTTATCTTTGTGTCTGGGAAGATAGTTCTGACAGGAGCTAAGGTAATTAAATGATAGTTGTTTTTCTTTTGTTGTCTTTTGGTCTATATGATTCTTTTGATAGCCTTACTGATTGGCATTTGTATTTTAATTTTTTTAGGTGAGAGATGAAACATATACCGCTTTTGAGAACATTTATCCGGTTCTAACAGAATTCAGGAAAAACCAGCAATGGTATGCATGCATTTTAACATTAATCATTCTTCGTAGCTTGGGTTTAATGGTCTCAATTAGGGGTCTTTACATTATGTTTATTTGTTGTTATTTTAAGTAGCAATTAATCTCTCGGATTTTAAACATGAGTCTACAAATACTTGCTACTGAAGCAAGAACACATTTGTGTAGAAAGAAATATAAAAAGAGAGGAGATTTATCTATCACTGTGAGATCCTAGAAATGTTTTAATATGGCAATATTATCATCCTATAGAAAGGTGACAACAGTGACACGTCAAAAACAGCCTGATAAAGTGGATGTGAAGGCAGAGACATTACATCTGGACGTTAGGGCCAATGTTTGAACTTTCACGTGAGAGGTCTTACATGCTGATGTATCACCATTCCAGTTGACAACATTGTGTTGTTGCCATGGTTTTCAAAACCGGACCGGACCGGAAAAACTGGGAATTTGTCAGGTAATCGGTTCTGTTTCACCCGAAAACTGCTTTTTGGCCAAAAACCGTTGATTTGGTCAGTAACCTGCTGACCCGGGCGGGCGGTCGAACCGTCAACCCGGACAATGATTTTTGTTCGTTTTTATTTTTTATTTTTATTTTTAAGTCAGAAGGGGCTGTCTGTTTGAACCGGATGGTTGGACCGCTTGACCTGGGAACCGGTCCCTAGAATGGTTCCCTGTTGTCCTGTCTGGTTTTAAAAACCTTGGTTGTTGCTTCCAGCAGCATAAGCGGACTAAATGGAGCATGTGTCTGTTACTCAGTTTGGTTTGGTTCCAAGGCAGAGCCCGAAGTCTTACATACTGATGTGTCACCATTCTAGTGGACAACATTGTGTTATTGCTTCTATGAGCATATGTGGACTAACATTGAGCATGGGTTGGTCTGGTTTGGTGGTTCCAAGGTAGAACTGAAACCTACCCTTTAGGTTTTGGTTCCAGGTTTTTTGGTACCAGAATTGCTGTGTCAAGAATGGTTGGTTCTGGCCTTGGTGGTTCCAAGGTCGATTCCAATGTCTACTCATGGAACCTATTCTTTCTTTACCAAAAACGTAACCTTAAAAAACATTCCGTAACATTAAGAATCAAATAAAATAACTATTTATGTTGTTGAGTGTAATATGTTGGTTTTTTTAACATTAAGAACTATAAATTTGTCATAATTATATAATCACAAATTGTATCATTGATAATGTTACCATCAATATATTTTGGTGATTAGAAATCACAACCATAAAATGTTTAAACTTGATTTTTAATAACAATAATAATATAGTTCAAAACTTATTATTATAATTTAAATTTGTAAATAATATGTTTTACATTACTTGTTGTATGCATTCAAATATTAAATTAAAGAAAATTATTATCAATTTACTTAAGTTGCTCAATGGTCAAGTGAGACCAATGGTCTTTGTAAACACAAGTAATTGGGTCCAAATCTTCACATCCTTAAATTACTTTGGGATTTATTTTTTTGGTAATACAAGATAAAAGATTAACGTCACCGGAGGAGGGCCCCACCAGCAGCATTCAAGAAGATTGGGATTTATTTTAAGGCAAGTTCAGTTCCACCAAGGCCAATCAAGGTTGGTTCTCTGGATTGGTTCAAGTAGGGTATGCATTCAGACCCAGAACCGGTCTGGGTGGGGGCTGGTTTCAAGAATTTTTACCTAGACCACCCTACCCAGTAACAGATTGGATGGGGCCGGTTCGAGGCCAGTTCCATTTGGTTTTGGGTTGAACCTATTGGTCCTATCCATTTGCTCACCCCTAATTGCAACTGTTCGCTTATCCCCTAATTGCAACAGTAACTACTCTGAAGCTCTATCATCCTCTACTTTTGTTGTTGGTGTTTCGGACTTCATTGAGATTTTGATCATATTGTAGGATGGATAAGTGATGCTTGTGTCTTTTCTGGTGTACAGACATCTGCTTGGGAGACCATATTGCATACATCATTGCGGAGGGGTTCGAGATAAAACATTATTATGTACTTGCTACTCTGTGTTGCCAAGGATGCACTCGGTTAATTGTAAATAGGTGATAGAAGGCTTAGGCAGAGGCTTTGGGTGGTCAGGTAATTTAAGAAATCTTGTGGATTTTCTTTTTCTCATATCCTCTCCCACCAGGCCACTTCTCGAATTTGAATTTCACATGAGATCTGTTGACTGTTATCGGGAGGGAAAATGGCAAAACTTTTCTCGAATGTGAACTCCGACTTGATGAATCTTTTAGCAAGAAATTTATTATTCTATTCGGATAAGACTGATATACGCAACTGTTTTGGACGGCCCTATGAATGGAATCAACTTTTCTGCATTGATTCATTTGTTATTTGTTCTTTGGAGCAGACCCCGAAATCGCTGTGGATTTTGCTGTAATTATGTCCGAGGTGTTAGATGAAAGGTTCTTGGACTCCTAGGCCGTTTGATGAGGGGTTAAATTTAAGTTGCTGAACTGAGTTTGTATTGTGTTCTGTGGAATCAGTGAACATTTCATTATTTCTAATTCTATGTATCGTGTTTAATGGTATATTAAAATGGATAAATCTATTCCCAGAAAGAATAATATAACAAGTTGTGTGTGTGTCGTCTTGCTTTTTCTCGGGGTAATATGAAGTGAATATGTTTTGCAACCAGATGAGGTCACGAGCTTCCTGCACCACCAGCTCTATTTTGGCGTGACTTTTGAACCAATTGTTGTAAATAGTTCCCCAAGTCCCAACATATATGTGGCGTTGTGCCACGTGAAGGGATGATGTGGGTATGTGACCAAATTGAACCATTAATCAGGTCGGTTGGGCCATCTGTGGATACTGTTTGTTTTTTGGGTTCGACTATGATATGGAAAAGATGCAATATCCGAAAAACATCTGACCAATCAACTGGAATCATATACTTAGTAGCGAATCTAAGTAAAAACATCTGACCAATCAACTGGAATCATATACTTAGTAGCGAATCTAAGTGTTATTTATGAAAATTCATGGGTGGGTTTGATTGGTCAAAATTTTTTTCATACCATTTTAAAAAGGAAATTGATCCAGTATATGAAGTTATTTTTGGCTTAATTTCGCTACGGCTAGTGGACGAACTTGTTGGCAGATGGCAGTTTTACAATAGGTGATGTTTGGTTTCACGGGCATTTATTGAAAAAACTGTTACAGTAGTGCTACATGGGCATTCGTGCTTATTGTATATGAGACTATTGATTGGTTTCACTGTTTATTAAGGCGGTGTTTGGTGTTTCGAAAAATGGTGTTTTGAAAAATGGCCTTTTATTTGGCATCGTATTTCTAGAAAAAATGTTATTTCAGACCACACCTTAGAAATTGGGAAAGTGTGGTCTAAAGAAATGCCAAATTCAATGTTTTTTTTAGAAAATAATTTGTTATTGCCAACAGTGCAATGATGTGGCATCACCAATGCTGAAAAAGGTTATGTAGCATTGGTACCAAACAAAACTAGTGTTTTTTCCATAAAACAACCTCTGTGACAGTATTGATGCCAAACAAAAAAAAAAAGGAGTCGTTTTCTGATAAAGTATATGTTTTGTATGATTTTCGTTTATTAAATAAATGTTTGTACTTGATATATCTTCAAAACCGAGAAAATGTGGCTAATAAACGTTTTTTTGGTATTTGTTGATAGCTATACGCCATTAGGTGCCATTACGTACCACATAAGTGGAACGGTAAATAAACACCTTTATGTTGGGGGGAAACATTAAAATGAACTTTCCCCAACGGTTGGCTTGCATGTAAATCAAAATAAACATTTATAAGATAAATAGACGTATAAAATAGTATGATACTGTCAAAATGGTGCAATAGATCCTCGTGCATATAATACTGTTTTCTTAAAAAAAACATCTATGAAGCAATGACATTGATGCCAAACACCTACCAAATAAATACTATGGTGATGTTTGGTATTGGTGTCGTATATCCAAAAAACGGTGCTACATCAGTACTAGCTTGACGTTTCCACTTTTTGTCATCTACCACGTTTGGTTTAGGTGTTTTTTGAAAAATAGTAAAAACACCCATTCCTTGTAAATTGCAATATTCTCGATGAATGGAACATCAAATTTAATGTTTGATGCATTGGTGAGCCATTGCTCCCATCAACTCTTTGACATGGTGCTGATTTGTACCAAATAGATTGTATATTTAAGAAAAACAGTGATGAAAATCACTTTACCAAACAACAAAAAGGTAAAAAATGTTGCTTTACTGCTTACTTGGCAGAAACAAAAACAATACAAAACAGATTAACATGCACCATCTTGGGCGTGGGTGTTTTTTTTTTGAAAATTGGGCCCAAAAAATGAATTGGGATATGCTTCTTATACAATACATGGTGGGATGTGCCTGTGAGGTGCTTACATGCATTGTGTGAGGAGCATATTCACTCTCCCAAAAAATGCCCATGTTACTAGACACCATCTAAAAACTGAAACACTTTGATTTTTGTGCATAGGGCATTTGGGAAAATGTCAAACTCATGTTTTCCCCAATGCTTTGGCAAATTTTGAAATAAAATATTGATGTGACACACTTTAAGGTGAGGTGGAAATCAACTTATATGGAGTGTTACTTGAACCGCTCACAAACACCCTACCAAATAGAAAAAGCAAAGACTTTTTAAGATAAACATTTATATGAAAAAAATGCCTGAAACGCCCCACGGGACCAAACATCTAGAAAAAAGTAAAACTTGATCACCTTTGCCTTCATTATCACAGAATTAGTCTCGAGACTCTCCACAATGGTTCCTTCCTTTGACTTTTGGATCTGGGCTCCCCTTTCTAGTGTTGTTATGAAACTTAGGCACTCTAATTTGGATATTCCACGTGCTTTTAAGCCTTTTATTTTTATCATTAATTAAGAGAAAATTCCCGWTTGGTACCTTGTACTTTGGGCCTAATGCCGCTTTGGTTCTCGAACTTTAAAATGCGACAATTCAATACCAAAACTTTTAAAACGTGTCAATCTAGTTCTTGCCGTTAACCAATCTGTTAACCAACCGTTAAGTGGCATTTGAAAGATACAAATGCATTTCAGGTGTCTTCTAATTTTTTTTATCAACCATCCAAACATTGACAACAAATGAACAATCCAAAATCATTGCCTCTTCTATTCAAGAAAGTTGGGGTCATGTCTTTGTGGACATTCTAGTGACCCAAACTTTATTGAACAAAAGAGGCAAGGATTTGGGATTGTTTATTTTTTATCCATGTTTGGATGGTTGATAAAAAAAATTAGAACACACTCAAAGGGCATTTTGCATCTTTTCGAATGCTTGGCTAACAGGTTGATTAATGACAGATAATGGATCTACACGTTTTAAAAGCTTGGGTACTTAATTGTTGCATTTTAAAGTTCAAAGAACAAAGTAGCATAGGCCCACAAAGTATATGGTATTAATCGAGAATTTTCCCATTGATTAATTATAAAATTTTAAGGAAAATTTCACTTTAGTACCCTGAACTTTGGGGTAGTATCATGTTAGTACCCGAACTTTTAAACATGTCAATACAGTACCTAAACTTTAAAAAAGTGTCAAGTTGGTCCCTACTATTAACCGATCGTCAATTATCTATTTAAAATGTCAAAACTACCATTCAAAAGAAGACATTGTTCATTATTTTCTACCTTGAGACTGAATCGATCGAGGTGTTTGATATTTTAGACAAATGAATTCATTTTCTTCTACCTTAGATTTGAAACACATTCTTGTCTAGTTATTTCTTTGATTTCATTTATTATTTTCATTTATCATATTTCATGTTTTTTTTCTCTTTTTCTTTGAAGATAATTGGTTCATTCCATTGTCTTCTTTTGAAGGGTAGTTTGACATTTTCAACATATATTTGACATGGAAAGGACAACTTGAAACTTTTTGAAAGTTTAGATAGGGAAGTGACACATTTGAAAGTTTGGGTATTAACTTGTTACTATCCCAAATTTCAGGGTACTAAAGGGGAATTTTTCCAAAATTTTATAAAAAACAATAAATTACAAAAACCCCCCTGTACTATGGGGTCTGTGACAAAGACCCCCTGTACTATGACTGTGACCTTCTGTTAGCTTTTTGTCTTCCCCGACCTCACGCACACGAACATCAGCGGCAAAAAAACACTGTTCATCTACGGAACACCGTCTCTCTTTCTTTTCCTTCTGTAGTTCACTTGCTCATTGGTTCAGAACTTCATTCAGATCTCTCTCGCCTGCGACAAAGCGACTTCTTCTCTTCTGCTGCTTCCGCTGAAAATGGCTGCCCACCTTCTGCATCGGCTACTCTTGCTTTTATTAGCCAAAACAGCGATCAGCTTCTGCTGAAAACGTTGCTCCAACTATCCTATACTTCAGCCAAGAACTCTCTCATGCCTTCATCAGTCTCGTGGGCAATGCGCTTCACAACCACCTCGGCTACAAGATGTATATATGTTTCCCTCTATAAACCAAAGATTGTTTGGATTTCATATAATCCTTTATGCTCTTTTGATTTCTGATTTGAGTCACTATTCAAATTTCAAATTTGCAGGTTGATAAACTAAAAAAAGAAGCTTAGGCATGAAGAGAATGTTCACAGAGCTCTGGAGAGAGCTTTCACAAGACCTTTAGGAGCTTTACCTCGTCTTCCTCCTTACCTTCCTCCATATGTTAGTACTCTTTATTAAATTAAACCACTTTTTCGTTTACACTTGGATCTCCTCTCCTCCCTCCTATAAACCAGAATAAGAAATAATACTTATAGAACTAAATGAAGAAGGGTGAATGGCATTAGTGGAAAACATAACGAAACAGAAAAATTCGAGGTGCACAGATAACTTCATGAACCAACATGAGAATAACCCAATATTTATTATCTGCGTGTCTCTACATGGTCTTTTGGTTTTCTCTATTGCAGACATTGGAGCTTCTTGCCGAGGTGGCTGTTCTGGAAGAGGAGGTTGTTCGGCTTTGAAGAGCAGGTTTTGAATTTCAGACAAGGCCTCTATCAGGAAGCTGTCTACATATCATCCTCCAAGAAGAATACTGAGAGTCTGAAGGAACTCTGTGAGCCATACCCATGTCGAAATCCCAAAGAGGAACAAGTCAAGGCCTCCTCGCAAGCTGAATGCAGTTTGGCGACCTCCACTGCAAGGATTTTACCCTCTGTCCTTGTCAATTCTTCGGCTTCAATCCAATTGGCTTCTGAGCCCATTCCCAATCGAACAGGGCATTGTGCTACTAGTTCCACAATCGAGAAACAACTCTCGAGGAGAACTCATTCATTTTTAGCTTTTCTGGAAGATGGGCGGGAAAAAGAGAATCAGTCCTGCACTAATTCAACAAAGAATAATAAGCAATCTCCAAAAGACACAGATGCTGAAGTCAAAACTCAAGTAAGGAGGCCACCCTCCATTGAGCATAGATTAGTAGAGAAGCGTTTGGGTCCTCTAAAGCTTCAGGTATGTTTTACCTATTTTCGTTACAGAGAAGTCCTGGATGTCTTCCCCTACTACTACTACAATGAATTTGAATATGGGTCTCTGAATGTCCAGCGAGAATGGGGAGTCAATGACCAAGAGAGAGCTGAAGAGAGCAATTCAGTTATTCCCGAAGAAACAATACCAGGAGGCGGAAGTAGCAGTGCTAACAAAATTTATGAGGACATTCTGAAGTGCATTGCCCACGAGACTGATGAAGGCATGAGAGAGTTCTTGACTGAAGTACAGGAACTTAGTTGGAGCAACGTTTTCAGCGGAAGCATGGGCGGAGCTAGGATTTTTTATTGATGGAGGCCAAAGCGTAGTAAACAAGAATAAGGGGGGCCAAAAGATAGGAAATATAGGTAAGAGGGGCAAAATATATGTATGATTTAAATGGCTACTATGGGGATTTTCAAGGCATAGGAGGGGCCATGGCTCCCTCTGCCACCCCGTGGCTCCGCCCCTGAGTGGAAGCTGATCGATGTTTTCGCTAATAAAAGCAAGAGTAGCCGATGCAGAAGGTGGGCAGCCATTTTCAGTGGAAGAAGCAGAAGAGAAGAAATCGCTTTGTCGTAGGTGAGAGAGATCTGAATGAAGTTCTGAACCAATGAGCAAGTGGATTAGAGAAGGAAAAGAAAGAGAGACCGTGTTTGGTAGATGAACAGTGTTTTTCGCCGCTGCTGTTCATGTATCGTAAGGTCGAGAAAGATAAACAGTGCTTTCTTTGTCTCACGGGTCATAGTACAGGGGTTTTTTGTCGCAGACCCCATAGTACGGGGGTTCTTTCTCACAGACCCCATAGTACGGGGAGGTCTTTGTAATTTACCCTACGGAATACGAAATGCCGAGATAAGAAAAGATATTCCGTTGTATCACACGAGAAGGCAAATAACGTGTGGTTACGAACGAACAGAAAAATTTTGCTTAAAAAAAATTTTCAGCTCCAAGAATGGACTTTCAGCTCCAAGAAAGTGAAAAAATCCGACACCTGCCTCTCTCTCTCTCTCTTCGAGTCTGTGAATAAAGTGCTGGGAGCCAGAGGTTTCATTGCCCACGATCAAGGGAAATCTGCATACCCATTACCCACGATTATGGCGCAGTTCACGACTCAAGGGGGTCTGAAGCTGTTCTTCAATGGCGACAGAGTGTCTTTTGGATTCGACTCAAAAGACGCATTTCATTATTGTAAAGTTGGTGATGGATTGAGATTCGTGGAGATCACTCCAATTCAACTCAACAAGAACAATGCCGGGTTTTATGGGTCTAGCCGGGTTTTCAGTTCACTGCGGAACAAATCAAGTAGCTTCAGTGCGGATGAAGAGCGTATAGTCGCTGATGATGGTAATGAAGCTGACTTGGGTTTTGATGAAGATGATGAGTTTGGAAGGGATGAGTTGTCCTGTTTCAAAGGTTTGGTCTTGGACATCTCTTACCGGTTAGTATTTTTTTTTTTTTTTTGTTTACTTCAATTTCTTTTTTTCTTTCTTTCTTTTTCTAGCGGCTACTGGCCTTGCAAGCTATTTGATTTGCTTCTTTTCCTTTTTTATCGTTTGGTTATTTGGAATTGTTCTTTTTCTATTCTTTTCGTAGTTCGATATACATTTTCTGAGAGGGGCTTGTAGAGAGTTCGCAATTTTAGTAGGTGCTGAGGGTTTCCCGTTTTCTGCTAAAAGTTACTCTTTAATTGGATGGAAGCTATTCAGAAGGGTTCACCACTAATCTTTGCAGAAATCATATATGCACTGAAGGGATACTAGTACTTGTGAACTGTAATGTAATCTTGTCGTAGAGATGGTTGAATGAAGACCTGCCCATTGTGAAGCAGCTACCGGGTTTAAAGCTTCAGTTCCTTCCATGCTGTTTATTATATGCTGATCAGTAAAGATTTAAGCTGTGGTCTTATAATTTGCCATTTTGGTTAGGCTTAAAATGTCTACCTCCGAATGGAGCATTAGGGGGGCAAGAGCAGATGGTTTTGCATGTGATAAAGACCTCATCATGAGAAATCCTCAATTAGATAGATCTAATCACTAAGATTGTCATTACTAAGAATTCTAGATATGTATAAATATATTATCTATTTAGGGAATTTCTTCAGGACTAGTCATTAACAATGTAAATGTTATACCATATTTTTGTGATTTTAGTGAAGCTTAGATGTATTAATGGATGGCAGTACATGTTAGGATGGTTGATTGCAGATTGACACCTGCATGTTGGGAAAAGGTTTTGCAATTTGCTTATATATGGGAGACATGTATTTCATAACCATGTGCCCTTTGTCATAATATTTATTAAAGCAACATTGGTACTGAAGCAAATTCTATGTGCACTTTATGCTTTGGTAGCTATGGGACCTAAACCAATTGAACCATCAAATTAGCTAACCATGTACTACACAGTTAGGAGACCGACAAGTGACAACTTTTTCTCTTATCTTTGTGGCACAAGCAAGGTGCCACCTTTTGTAAACAAATATAAAAAATTAGGTACTCAATCCATCCCTCTGAGGACCCATGATATCTGGGACCAGTATTGGTAATTTTTTTTCCACAATTAAGGTGTCTTGAAAGTAGTAGGTCAACTGCTTCTTAGACTACTTTTTTGTTGCAAGAACCTGCAAATGAATTAATAGACACAAACTAAGCAATAGAAGGGATACGTAGCATCAGTGTGGAGAAGCAACTGATTGGCACAGCATGGGGGTTCCTCGTCCAGCAGATTTGAACACTTAGAAAGTGCAAGTTACATTTGGTATAGATCGCGTCCTTTGACTATTGCAACATCGAGAAGCCTATATAGTTCAACCAAGTGGGTGAATATTATTTCAGAAGTCAAGTTGCCACTGACTTTTAATTTAACCATGCATCATGTTTAGATCTATTGAAAGTCAGTAGTGGCTTACACCACCTTTGGTGGTCCAAGTTGTTCTTTATGAGTTTATGTTATAAGTTCGATGTTTTTACTTTTTAGGATTTCATGCTTAAGGGAATGTGAATCAAATACATATTCTTGGTTGATGTAATAGAGGTATGCAGAAGATGAATTCTTTAGTGAAAATCTAGCTTTCTGTTATTCCTTGCTTTTACATTGTTGTTCTACTTTTTTTTCTGTCTTTTAGTGAACCTTCCTTCTTTTGTTGAGAATGCAGAATGAAGTTGCATGTTGTTTCTGATTGTGTTCATTCTGTGCTAGGCCCATTAATGTTGTTTGCTGGAGGCGTGCTATCTGTCTGGAGTTCACAGAGAAGGTTAGACTACTTTGTTAGTTTTTGGGGTCTAAAAATTCTCTCTTCTTTTGGTAACCTACTATTTCTTTTTGATCTCAGGGAAATAAAGCCATATTATATAGTGGATAATGTTTTCCAATCCTAGCAGTAATTTGTTTTAGCTTGGAAGTTTTTTTGGTAGAGATATATGATTCAATTTATTCAATGAAAGGTAAACATAAACCACTGCTGGGGTGGATTGTAAGAACAGCCTTTTTGAAAACCTGCCATCACATTGGTGCATATGCTGGGAGTTGTTTCCCACCCTCTATATGTCTAACAGTTCTCTCTCTCTCTCTCTCTTTCTCTTCTTTCTTTTATGTGCCTAAACCAAAGTTCTCAATGAGAGCTTCTTACAGTTTCCATAAAACAATATCGACTGTCCAAAAGAATGAGGCAATCTGATCAGATTGATTATGGTCTTGAAGCTCCTAGGGTAGATTGTCTAGAGTCATTCCTTCATCAGAAGATGTATGTGGTATTCTGTTGGGTAGAATCTTCATGGTCTGTTGTTAATTTCAAACAAAAAAATCGTCATGCTTTACATGACTAAAGCTTTTATCTTTTTGATAAGCACTGCCTGATTAGAACAATAGATAATGCACTTCTTTTTGATCTTTTTCTTGTTGAAACATAAATCTATCTGTTTCTATACTGCCAGTTTTAAGATCTTGACCTTTTTTCTCTTATTCAGGCTGATGTCCTAGAATATTATGATCAAACAGTAAAGTCTCCAAGTGGATCCTTCTATATACCAGCTGTGTTAAGGGTATGTAAATAAGGAGTATGCTGGGGATATAGGATTGTTGGGTTCCACTTATTAGTGATCACTTAATTATTATTTCTTGTTTATGTTTTTCCTGGCTCACAAATATTTGATATTAATTTGTTCCTTAATATTAGGTTCACTGCATTTCAACTGATTATGGGCTTTCCCTACTTCCAGGTTCCCCATCTACTTCAGGTTGTCAAGAGAAGAAGAATCAGACAAAGCCTTAGTCGTAAAAATATATTTTACCGGGATATATTTACTTGTCAGTAAGTAGTCAATAAATCATGTATTTTTATTTATTTATTTATTATTGCTCTTAAAGTGTTTGTATGTGTGAGTATTTAACCATTGTACTCGTCAATTTAAGTTTTCAGTTCCTGACAAAAGCCCAAATCCAGCATTGATTTATATGAGTATGATAGCCTTTTTATGCATACCACAAAGTTGGTTGCAGCCATGGCCATGTTCAACCTGACTGGTTTGGCCTATTGACTTAAACCTGGACTGGGGTTTGAAAAGCATAATCAGGCCCAAAAGTAGTGAGGGATTTGGGTGACCTGACACAACTTGAGCCTGATGATGTATATCATATTTCATGTATAAAACATTACTGGAAAAGGCTTTGTTTAGGGGTTTGAGTGTTGTTTGTGGTATATAAACTAGGCTTCCTTATTGGGTTAGGATTAAGTACAAGAAGAGTTGGGGGTCTTAATTCCTTGGTGTTGATTTTTGTTATAGGGTCTTGCACTTTTTGTTGTCACTTCCAATGTTTTAAAACATGGAGGCGTGACGCAAGTTTCCACTACTTGGAGGTGTGACATGTAGTTTAGAGTGGAAGAGGTGTAAGCCTCTCGAGACAAGGTGGTGTAAGTGTTGTGTAGATGTTCTACATTTTTGTTATGGTCTTATGTGTTTGGAGGTTTTTCATACTCTGGATTATGTTAATATATAATGGAGAACATGATAAAATGGTTACCCCACTTTTATCTATAGCATTTTATTATAAAAAGTGGCTTAAATACAAAAACACAAGAGGCATAAGCCTCTTGTATAAAGCATAATGGAGGCATACACTTGAAGTGACACAACAAAAGTGCAACACCCTAGGTCTAAGCCTTTAAGTGTGACGGATACACTTGAAGTCACTTGCTTTAATTTATTAATGGAATTCAAGTTTAAGCCTTTTAAAACCATGACCTGAACTAGTCAGTGGTGTACAGCAAAATTTGGCTCAGTTATGAATGCATTCTTCATCATGTGTTTCTGACCTGTAAGCAGGAACTTGAAGGAAGTTTGAATCTTTTTCTCCTCAAATTAGCATGCCTAAAGATTCTTTGTCTATGACTTTCAGGAAACAAATATCTGGACTTGAGAAAGCTATCTAGTCTCAGGTCTTTTCTTTGGACCATTGATAGAGCTCCTACATGATTCTTCCTTCCAGATTCAATGTCTTTGAAACAGGGTTGCAAATTTTAGCAGTTACATGTAGGAAGGCGTAATTGGAAGTATGCTTTTAGAGATCAGGTTATAACATTGTTGTCTTCATTGTTAACAGGTATTGCTCTTCACGTGAGAGCTTGACGATAGACCATGTTTTACCGGTTTCTCGAGGTGGGGAGTGGAAATGGGAAAATCTGGTAAGAGAACCATAAAGAGGCATTGATTTAACATTCTATGAGAGTGTTGCACTTGGAAGAAATGTGATTTYTACCATTGTTTTCTTTACTTTTGGTTTAACATTTTCTAGTTGTAGGTTGCATTTAAAAGTATGGTTACTTATCAAATAAAAGAAAAGCATCACATACTTACATATTGACAATGTGAAATCCGAGGCGGTAAGGCAATGTTAATACCAAATTCAAATTACTGATGGACTTTCTCAAGTTGTCTATCCGTGGAAGATATCATATAGGGTGGATGACTCTTTTTAAAACAGAACTGCATGGAATCTGACTAGTTGATTTGCCAAGTTTACTGTTGTTTTAGCAGTTTCTTTTTTTGGAAGGGCTGGTTATTTTAAATCAGTCAAGGTTGCGTGAAATGGATTTTGTTTCAGTTTCTACCCCTCCAATCCAAACACACACTAGATCTTTGCTGATTGTCTTTAGAGTTTCTTAGGTAGTCTAAGTGAATGGTTGATATTCCTAGGATTCTAGGAATCCTCCATTAGTAATAGGAAGGATGTACAGATATAGGATCTATGGATATTATGTTAGATGATTAGGTAGGTGAAGTCTCTCAAAAGTAGATTGAATCATTCTTTTATTAGTCTTACATTTTTGTATTCAGCGGTATTTTTGTCCTAGTATATATCTGAGAATAGTATGAATATTAGTGAGAGTGGTCGAGTGACCTATCTCTCACATTCACACATTTTCTTCTCTATCATTCTTTATTCTCTTTCTCTTCTATTCTTTGTTTGTTGATTAAATCTTCAACTGAGCACTTCAAGTAGGTGTTAGAGCAACGTAATCTGTTTCTTGGATTCTTACCTGCCGAGCAAGTGTCACACTAATGACCTATTGGCATTAGCAGCCATACATGTGATGTCAGCAAGTGTATGGCCGTGAAAAAAAAAAAAATTCCTACTATGGATTTTTGGGTGTTGATGCTGTTTAGATTTTTTTTTCTCCTGTCTGGGGCTGTTATGTTCCAATTCAGTAGGAATGGATCTAGAGTTTTTCATGCTTGTCTAATTATAAATTGGTAAAGGTTTGTTGTTTTTATGGAAATTTTCTGGGAAAATAACAAAAATTCCTGGCAGGAGTTTTCAAGGTACTAAATTACTAATGCTGCTTGAAAGTTTTTTGTTTCTTTTTATTTTTCTGGTTCAGGCTTATAGGTTCCAATCTGTAGGACTTTTTGGAATCCATTGCTTGATGGAATACTATGGAGTTTGAGAATTCAATGTTGCAAACTCTACCTGTTTTAACACCATTCCTAGTTTTAACATTTTTGATCTATTTTTGTCATTAGTCAATGTATGAAGAGCTGTTCCATTGTTAAATGTGTTTGAGGCGTGTCTAATAATTGAAGTGTTGTTAGGTTCAGTTTAACAACATGTTGGATATCTATGTCTAAGAATTGTAGAATTTTTCAAGTCAATATCAAATTAGTAGTATTGGCAAGCTAGGCATGTTGAACATATATGCTCACCTTATGGAGAAGTGTCATTAGTTTCATGTTTTGTATTGAGGAGTATTTTTGTCCTAGTATTTACCTAACCGTGGGTTGTAGTGTCCTAGTAGTGCATACTTTGATTGGAAGAACACAGTGTAGGGGTGCAATTGGGTGAACCTGGGTAGAGAATCTGGTCAATTTTGAAGGGACCTTGCCTCAGGTCCAGGCTTGATGCAGTTGAAATTCTTCAATTTAGGTATCTGAACTTTCATCCTAAATACAATTATGAATAAAAAGGCTTTTTATGCTCTTACTGTCTCTCTGTTTATGGAGGCCCAAGAGCCTCTTAGTATTTCTATATTACAGGTTTGTATACACTTGCTTAGAGAAGATGTAGAGAAAGAAGCTAAAATGTTAGATTAACCTTCTAAAACTTAGAAATTACTAAATCATTTTTAAAAGTTTAAAAGAAATAAAAATAAAATATGAAGGTTAGGATCTTGACTGCTCTGTACAAATGACATGGTCACTCTGCACTTCGGCCTCATTTTGCCATGTTTATTGCGTGTAAAAACTGAAAAGTACCCTGGACTCGTAGTGCATGAGGCCATTACCCAATGTTGGTCCTAGCTATCTGGGGTCTTGGGAGGGGTAGATTGGATATTGTTAGGAACCTGCCTAACTCAGGGCTCTTCGAGGGAGCCAACCTCCTGAATTCGTTGGAAGGAGAGAGAGAGAGAGAGAGAGATTAATGCCGAAAGAATTATTGTCTTATTTCTCTTTGTGCTTCACTGCTTATACTGTTTACAATCTTTGATTTCTTTCTGTTATAGCTGTTGCAAGTGGACGATTAGTTTTTCTGACGTGGCCTCCTCTTGTAAAACTGATTAACTGCTTTCTGTTGGTCTGTTCCAGTAGTCTTTACAATCCCCCCCTCCTTTAGAGTGACCTTGCCCTAATGTGGGAAAATTTGATTGCAGATCTAAGTAGGATTCCCAGGTTGCATCCTCTTCTGGGAGTTTAGACCAAACAACTAATGCTTCTGGTATGACTCTTCCACCCCGGCGCACCCATCTAAAATCAATGATGCGGGCTGGCTCAGTCTGCACTTGTCCTTCCTCTGAAAATGTGGGAAGGGTCGCACTTGTAATGACTCCTGACTTCGGCCCTTTTTTCAGTAAGGAGATATGGAATACATGGTGCAGTTTTGATGTTGCTGGAAGGTCCAGCTTGCAGGCCATTGACCCTATTCTCTCAAGGATTTTAAATGGTCCAAAATAGCGCGGACTGTGTTTGTTCCACTGTCGGCTTGCAATTGAAATCTGTCTGAAAGGTTGTAATTTGAGAAACACCCAATCACCAACTTCATATTGGACATTCTTGTGATGTTTATCATAGGTGTGCTTCATCCATTGCTGTGCCTGTAAGAGATGCTGTCTCAGTTCCTTTAACACCTCATCTCGTTGCATCAGCTGTTCTTCTAAGGCCGCTACTGTGGTGGTCCCTTTTTCATAAGGAAGTAGAAAGGGAGGGTCCCGACCATATAGAGCTCTGAAGGGTGTCATCCCAGCGGCGCTATGGAAAGTGGTGTTGTACCACCATTCGGCCCAGTGGATCCACTTCACCCATTGTCTTGGTCGATCTCCCGCGAAGCATCTCAGATATGTTTCGAGACTCTTGTTAACCGCCTCTGTCTGTCCATCAGATTGGGGGTGGTAGCTAGTTGACTTGAAGAGTTTAACCCCGTGCAGGCGAAAAAGCTCAGCCCAGAAACGACTCATAAAAAATAGGGTCCCTGTCTGATACAATTGAGCTGGGGAGCCCGTGTAGGCACACAATTTCCCGGAGGAACAATTCAGCAACTGTGACTGCTGTAAATGGGTGTGATAGAGGTAGGAAATGACTGTATTTCGTCAATCTATCCACTACCACAAGGAAAACTATTTTGCTGGCAGAAATGGGCAATCCTGTGATGAAATCCATTGATATATCATCCCAGACTTGGGTTGGTATTGGGAGTGGTTGCAAGAGGCCTGCTGGTGYTGYAGTGGCYGACTTGTTTTGTTGGCATACTGCACACCCGGCTATGAAGTTCTGGATAGATGTACGCATGCCTTTCCAATGGAATTGTGTGGCGATGCGTTTTTGTGTTTGTAGGATGCCGGAGTGGTTACCTGTGGGTGAGGCATGGAATAATTCCAGGAGCTTCCTGAGATGAGCAGAATCTGCCAGAATTTTCAGGCGTTCTTTGAAGAAGAGTAGATCATTCTTAATGGTGTACCCGGGGTACAGTGAGGGATTTGCCAATACTTGGGCCTTCAACTGCTGTAACTCCCTATGGGATTGGGCTTCTTTTCAAAGTAGATCCAGGAGTGGAGAAGTTGGGGAAGATACTAGTAACTAAAATGATTGTGGGTGCCATGAGAGAGCGTCAGACACCCGGTTAGCAGCCCCTGCTTTGTACTCAATTATGTAGTCGTACCCTAGTAGCTTGGATATCCACCGTTGTTGTTCTTGGGATAGGACTGATTGATCCAATAAGAACTTCAAACTTTGATGGCCGGTCCGAATTATGAACCGTCTACCGAGCAAGTAGGATCGCCAACGTTGGACTGCTAAGACCATTGCTATTAATTCTCGTTCATAAACTGATTTGGCCCACTTTTGTGATGTTAAGGCCTTGCTGAGAAAGGCTAGTGGTCGCCCCTCTTGCATGAGAACAGCCCCAACACCTTGACCGGAGGCATCACACTCAATGATGAAGTCTTTTGTGAAATCGGGCAATGCTAATGTTGGAGGGCTCGCAACTGCATGTCTCAACTGCTCAAAAGCCTGTTGGGCCTGGGTTGACCAGTGAAAAGCGTCTTGTTTCAGCAATTGGGTCAACGGGGTAGCTATTAGGCTGTAGTTTTTGATGAAGCAGCAGTAATACCCAGTCAGGCCCAAGAAGGCCCTCAACTCTTTCACACTTTTGGGTTGCGGCCTGCCCATTATACTGGAGATTTTATCTGGGTCGGCCACTACAGTTCCATTCTCTACAACATGCCCCAAGTAGTGAACTTGGTTTTGTCCAAAGGAGCACTTGGACTCTTTAGCAAACAACTGGTGGGCCTCAAGTGTTGCAAGGGTGACCTGTAGATGACTTAGATGTACCTCCCAATCGAGGCTATAGACCAATATGTCATCAAAGAAAACAAGGATGAACTTACGTAAATATGGTCGGAATATGTCGTTCATTAATGCTTGAAATGTGGCTGGAGCATTGGTCAACCCAAATGGCATGACTAGGAACTCATAGTGGCCATCATGTGTCCTGAAAGCCGTTTTGTGAACATCCTCCCTATGTACCCTTATTTGATGATACCCAGCTCGTAAATCTAATTTTGAGAATATGGTGGCTTGACTGAGTTCATCAAGCAGCTCATCAATGACCGGTATTGGAAATCGGTCTTTAATGGTGATATTGTTAAGGGCTCTGTAATCAATACAAAATCGCCACGTCCCATCCTTTTTTTTTGACTAATAATACCGGTGAAGAGAATGGGCTGTGGCTGGGCTGTATTATCCCTTGCTTAAGCATATCTTGAACTTGCTTCACGATTTCAAATTTTTGAAAGTAAGGGTATCGGTAGGGTCTTACATTGGTTGGCGCAGCTCCCGGCATGAGGGGGATGCAGTGGTCATGCTCCCGGCGTGGTGGAAGTTCTTGGGGTTCTTCGAACATGCTGCCATATTGCTGAAGGAGTTGTTGTAGGAGGCTTTGGAAGTCTCTAGGCTCATTTGGGCTGCTGTTAGCTAAAGATGGGCTGGTCTAATTTGAGTCCATGTGCATGAATATGGGCTGATCCGGATCTCCTATTTGCTTTGTTAATGTTGCATGACTGATGGGCCTTGGACCCTTGCATGTTTTCCCTTGTAGATGGACTGTAGAGTTCCCTGGTGTGAAGTCCATGGTGAGATGGGCCCTAGCTGTCTTAACCATTGAATGCCTAGCACCACGTCCGCTCCACTGTGATGAAGAGGATATAGGTCCACCGCAAACTGGTGACCCTGAACCTTTAGTGGTAAGCCCATGCAAATGCTATTGTAGGATAGGCTACTACCGTTGGCCACATGAATCGTAAAAGCCGTTGTTGGTTGAACCGGGTGTCCTATTTTATCCACCAAGACTTGAGTTATGAAGTTAAGGGAACTGCCACTGTCTATGAGGATTGACACTTGGCATCCCTGGATTAGCCTTGCAACTCTCATTGTTTGAGGGGACGCAAGTCCCGTAAGGGCTTGTAGAGATATTTCAGGTGTGCCATTGGGTTGTATTTCCCACCTTGGGTTAGATTCCCCGCAATCGGTGAGGTCGTATTCCTCTTCGACATCTGTTTGGAGGAGAAATGCTTGTTGTTTCTTGCATGGATGGCCCGACCCGAATTTCTCTTCGTAGTTCCTTTGTCTCTGCGGGCTTGCATCTCTGCCCAGGTCAGCCATTTGAAAGGAACCAATGGGCCTGGGCCCAGTATTCCTTCCTCCTTGTTTGGTGCTGTCGTCCTGGTTCCTGGACCCCATGGCCGTTGCACCTTTCTTGCTCGAGCGAACTTATCCTCATACAATCTTGCTAGCGCTGCCGCATTTATGACTGAAGTGGGCTGCATCGCCTTCACTTCCAGTTGCAGTTCTTCTTTTAGGCCGCCGACGAAGCTTCCCACCAACACCTTCTCCGTCTACCATTGGACTCTCACGGCCAGCTTTTCGAACTCCATCTGGTAATCTTTAACTGATCCCACCTGCCGTAGGTTTGCCAAACTCTCATCATGATCTTCGAACCCAGACGATCCAAAACGGATAGTCATGGCATCAGTGAAGTCTGCCCAAGTTTGATGAGGGTGCCCCCATCGGTACCATTGAAACCAGAGGATAGCTTCCCCTTCAAGATGCGCAGAAGCCAGAGCTACCATATCTTGCCCAGGTGTCTCATGGTAATCGAAATACCGTTCGGCTCTGAGAATCCAGGGAGTTGGGTTGCCGCCTGAGAAGATGGGGAAATCGATTTTGGCTGCTCTCGTTGCTGCCGGCCCTGTTCTGCGGTTGTTTTCATTGCTGCGCTCTTCTTGGCTTCCTCTGTCGTTGTTCGTTGCCCCCTGCTCCAGCCGATTGAGGAGAGCAGTGAAACCTTCCTTCATTTCTTTGAGATCTGAAGACATTCAATGGATCTCTACCTCCATCTGATCCACTCGGGTGTCTACTGACGTGTTTCTTGTGTTGGTCATGCTGGCTCTGATACCAACTTGTTAGGAACCTGCCTAACTCAAGGCTCTTCGAGGGAGCCAACCTCCTGAATTCGTTGGAAGGAGAGAGAGAGAGAGAGAGAGAGAGAGAGAGAGAGAGAGATTAATGCCGAAAGAATTACTGTCTTATTTCTCTTTGTGCTTTACTATTTATACTGTTTACAATCTTTGATTTCTTTCTGTTACAGCTGTTGCAAGTGGACGATTAGTTGTGCTGACGTGGCCTCCTCTTGTAAAACTGATTAACTGCTTTCTGTTGGCCTGTTCCAGTGGTCTTTACAGATATGGTCTTAACCTTTGGCATGTTTTGCACAAGTGGCTGCTCTCAGACTCGAACTTGCGTTCTCACGCTTGCCAGCCCATGGTTTTACCCTGGACCCCTGGAGTGTGAGAAGCCTACTACCATACTCGAGGGTTAAGTCACTAGGAAAACTAAATACTCGTAAAAGGAAAAGAAGACAATAAGAGAGGTTGATTCATCTATTTTGAATATTCCCTCGAAAAAATTACTTAAAATATAACACTAAATAATTTCAAGTGTACTTAAAGCATGAAAACGGTACACCATAGTCCTTTCAATTTTGCATGTCATTGATTTTCCTCCCAAACACTTTCTTCACAGAATAGGATAGTGGTAATTGAGTATTACTTATTCCAGGTTACAGCTTGTGCAAGATGCAATTCGAGAAAAGGTCAGAAAACTTTAGAGGAAGCAAATATGAAGCTGATCAAGGCTCCAAAGGTATGTACTAGCTATCTTTATTTATGCCATTGTTTCGATTATGACAGACAAACTTCTTTTAGATTTCCACTGATGGGAGCAACGCTGATTGTTGATTTTGCAGGCCCCAAAGGAGTTTGATATTCTTGCTATACCCCTGACAACAACAGCTATAAAAATGTTGAGGATGAAGAAAGGGACCCCAGATGAGTGGCGCCAATATCTAGCAAAGCCATCTTCTGATCCATGACAGATATTAGCCATGCTTGTGATCTACGTATGTATCAGTCATTTGTACATATTAATGTTGTGTTCTTCAAAATTGCGTTGAAAAATTCACTCTGCTAAAAAATCCAAATACAAGCATCTAACTTTTGGTGGCAAAATTTCCCTGATGCACCTCATGTATAGCGGCCACTATATCTCAAGATGTATTTTCATATCATTAAATGCTTTGTATTCTGACTTTCTGTGGTATCAAGTGGCTACCTTAAAATCTTACATGTTACAGTTGAATCAGCACGGCAATAGAAAGAAAACCAAAACCACCATTCATATCTTCAAGTATCTACCAAAACCGAAACGACTATGGTCTACATGTCTTGGGTTAAGTAGTTCCATGAAAGATAATATTGTATAATAATGTTATTCAATATTTTAAAAACCGACCTGGAACTGGAAATGCTTTGGCCCCTGGTTTCTGGGTCAACGGTTCGACTGTCTGATTCGAATGGACAACCTGTTTTAATTTAAAATATAAAAAAATAATTAAAATAAAAAATGGCCAAAAACTGTTGTTTGGGTCGAATTGCTCGATGTAGTTTTTAGCTAAGGAATGGGTTAATGATGAAATGGAATCGGTTGTCTGGACGATTTCTGGGCCGAACAGTTTTATTCAACTCAATTATGAGCATCAGGTATTATGATAGGACGCTTAATTTTGATTGTTAATTTTCGTTTTTCCCATCTTATGGTCAAAATTCGTTTTTCCCAATTCAAATTTCTAACAATCATAACAGTCAATTCAAATTTGTGACGGATAACTTGAAATATTTCAAGGTGACTCTAGAGTCTATAAATATAAAAGAGTGTAAGTTAAGATGTTCTAATAATAAAAAAAAAAAATTCTCTATGCACTTCTCCCTCTCAATCTGAATTATTATCATATAGAAGGTTTCGTTGGAGGTTCATCAACATTACTAGTTGTGATTTTTTACGATCCTTAATTAGAGGTTGTTCATGTAATCAAGTAGAATCAAGAGAGTTTTATCCCATTGTAGTTTTTTTTTGTCACATTTATTTTGTAATTTATCTCCATCTTTATGTGATTCAATATACGAAATTTATGTTGACACTTGGACAGCAGGTTTTGTTGTTTTTTTTTTTCAATGAATTAGATGTTTAATTGGTGCAGAGGTTAATATGATTGTGGGTTCAATGCAAGGTTCAAAAAATCGATATGATACGCCCCGTATTGGACGTATCGTATCATATCTTTTGGGTTCCGAAACACCTGTCCCCACCCTTCTTTAATAAAAAAAAAAAAAATCCATTTTTAGCTTTCCAAAAACCAAAATTTGAAAAAAAAAACTAAAAAAAGTGTATTTCCGTGTATTTTAAAGTACTGATACACCTTTGCAGATACTTTGAACCATGGTTCAATGGCATGTGGTTTTATCCTTCACCCAGACAGATGTTTGTGAAGGCTAGATATTTGGTCAAAAGTTCCTATTGAACAACAAAATAAAGGCTAGTCCCTATTAAAGAATATATTGATCTCTCTTTGTTGGTTTTCTTTTTTTATTTTCATTTAATTTTCTTTGGAAATGTTGTTTTGTTTTGGCATTGTAAAATGAATTTCTTCATATCTAACACAGATTAGGGTAATTAATGGCACCCAACTTGATGACTAATAACATTCTCTAATTAATATCTAAACCAATTACTTTTGAGAATAATGTATTAATGTTATATATTAGATTTTTTTATTCTTTTTGGAGAGTTGTCACCAGGTCCAAGGACTCAACACCTTACAGGAAAAGCTCAGTTGATTAACATAAACTGGAAAGCGAAAGGTGCAACAGGGAATTAGGGTAAGGGTAGTTAAATGATCAAGTTAGCTAGAGGACTAAAGTAACTAGAAAACTGTTGGATTGAAGTACTTTGATACTTGAGAATTAGTTATTACCATCTACTTTTAAAATCCAAGCTTTGAGGTGAGTTATTTGTGAAACTGCATATAATTTAAGGGGTAAATGTAATCTTATATTTCTAGTTTTATCATTTGGTCAAAAGGAAAAGTTATGGTTAAAGCAAACTTCAGTAATTTAGTGGCAGACATTCTTTTTTACAAACTTCAGTAATTTAATGGAAGTGAACTGGTCAATTCTTGAGCTGACCAACTTACCTGCAAAACAAACAAAACCTTAAAGAATTGGGTATAAAAATCTGAATCCAGATTTTTTCCTCCTCAATCCTCCTCACCCCCACCTCACAGCACTTGCAGCCTTGCATTGGTAACATCTCTCCCCACAGCAAGAAAGATATTCCATGCAACATGCTGTGAGAAGGAAAGGAAATCTGCACTCTAAAATCCTTCCATGTCCTATAAACCTCCTGTCTTTTCACCGGACAAAAACCTAGCTACCTCAACGTTTTGAAATAAAATGCATGAGAGCATCAATCTTTCCTTTTATGACTACTAACGAGGTTCCCCAACAATATATAGCTGTGGGTACCAATGATTTCATCAAGTAGCTACTTCATCTCTCATAAATTAAAGATGAAAAGTTTAACAGTAAACAACAACTAAGCAACTGGTGTGAGCTTATTTGATGGGTGATCAGAGCAAGAGGTTTGATCTGTAGACGCATCTGTTGGTCGATAGGTCGGTCGGAATTGCATTTAGAAGAAGCTAGCTAGAGATGCAAACCAGAACCCTGTAGCTTGAAGCGAGAAATCTGGTCGAGTCGCTCAGTCATCTCTGGTGTCAAGTGTGTCTTCCAGTCTCCAACATTCCCAGACCTGAAAAACACACTGTTGCCGATTCCACTCCAAAAATCCCTGTCATTTTTGTTCACCTCCAGATTTTTAAGCCTCTCCAAGCTGCATTTCTGCACCACCTTGTCGGCCTCTTGTTCGTTGAGAAGAGGCCTCCCAAGAAAGGAAGCTATCTTCATCACCTGTTGCCTTGGATCACCTCTCATGTCCTCGATCGTACCTGAGGAACAATATCTTTTCAGGCTGTCTTAGGCTCTCTTCCCAGTAGCCTACAACGTTGTCAAAGAAGGGGCCCATAGGATAAACCCCATCGCAGAAGTCGTCGAATAATTCCTCCATTGGATGTGAACCTTGTTCTTCACAAGTCTTATGAATCTCATTAAGAAAATACCAAAGCGAGATGAATGTGTCTCTGGGGTTCCCAGTCACATAAACAATCTTACAGGAGGCAGAGTTTTTGATGCATGGTGGTAGTGATTTATAAGGCATGTGAGTATGGAAAAGTCTGGGAGAGGGGGAGGGGATACCTGAGAGATCTGGGGTGGGATTGTCCTTGTAGATCTGGGTCTCAAAGCTCTGAACAAGGGCATGAGGAGAGTTTGTTATCAAAGGTTCATCCTCGTCACCATCACCATCACCATCATCATTGATGACATAGCCGTTGCCATCTTTCTTGTGGGTACTGCAGTTCAGGATACACCAAACTAGGGCCTTGAGCCAGGTCGTTCCTGTTTTTTATTGGAGAAGCTAGGATTATATCACCGTCTTGTACTCGGAAGTGTGATCTGAAGGCCACGACAGCCTCAAGATGGGAAGGGAGGTACCGGTGGCCTTCCCATTGATGGAGGTCAAAACATCCCCAAAACTTTACCTCTGGAAGTTGAGCTAATAAATTAGCCATATAGTTGAGGGATCGTGGGTTGCATGGGCTTGCAATGCTAGAGGAATTCTCTATCCCTATCTCTAGATTTCAAGCTTCAAGCAATGCAATTTACACACACACACATTCAGGTTTCTCATCTTTTATTTATACTTAAAAACACGGTTTTCAAAACCGAACCGGACCATACAGTTGGATAGGAAAAACCAGGAATTGGTCAGGTGATTGGTTCCGTTTTACCCTAAAACCATTATTTTGCCAAAAACCGTTGATTTTGTCGGTAAATCACTGATTCGGGTGTTCGAACCGTTCAACGGTTTTGGCTGTATTTTTTAATTTTTTTGTCAAAAAATATCATCCATTTGATTCGAACGATCAAACCATTCGACCCGGGAACCAAACCCCTGGCTGGTTCATTGTCCGATTCAGATTTAAAAACCTTGCTTAAAAAAAGAAGGTCAAATGGGTAGGACCAAAACCAAATAACTAAACACCCATGACCCAAGTGGGTGTCTACTTACTAATTAACATGTGGGTTGGAGCTGTCCGGAAAAAAAAAAGTTGCAAAACAGCAAGGGCTATTTTGGTAGAATCATGAGTCTGGGTAAAACATTGTTATTATTATTATTATTATTACTATTATTATACAGGATTTTCAAATTATAGTATATGTGAAAGGAAGAAGCTTTTAGGAATAATTTTTAAAAAACAAAAAGTGAAGTTAATGAAAAACCGGGGATGATGTGACATTTAAGATTGAAGTGAGAAAATAATACCGAACACACTTATTACCTCTAAAAATGCATAAATGCTTTTCAGCATTCAACATTAAAAGGCAACGAGTCAATTTAGAAAGAGTACAAATACAAATATATTGAGTGTAAAACCCTGTATTTTGTATATTTGCATTATACATATTTGTTTTATATTCTTTTCAAAATTAACCTAAGTCTCAAATTGAAAAGAATACAAATACAAACATATACAATGCAAATACATACAAGATAATAGAAAGTGAATATTTGTATTTATATTCCTTCCAAATTGAGCCTAAACTCTATCCGATTTGATAACCTGGGCCTCCCAACTGATAAATTATTTAATTACAGGTCGTTTTAATTTATTTACTTTTCAGCACTAAAAAGGGTTTGTTTAGGTGATAGGGTTAGTCTATTAGTTTAGCTTTTTCCTTTTTCAATTTTATGGATGATCCTGGAGGGTCCAGATCAATATAAAAGGCACCCATCCCATGGACCAAAAATACAGGTGATTTTGGGATTTATCTTCAAATCTTTTTTCAACTTTGAAGAGAAAATTTCTCTCCATCTGTCAAGTAAATACAGTAAAAGGAGATTATTATATTCTACTATATAGGTAGGATCCAGTGAATGAAGAGTCCAAAAGTTGAAGATGACATGTGGTAATTCCAATATTAACCAATATAAATTTCTTATTGTTAGGAGGAAGCAATTTGAAGGGTGAAGAATTGAAGCAAAAAACATAATCTGTTATGAACTTTGAAGTGCCTTGCAATGTGAATCACCTCTAAAGCCAAACGGTTTGTTTGCGTGGGAAATTTATACACACTGGTGTAAATGCATATGGATGGGAGTGCAATTGGACGTAAATTTTGGTTTGCTTTTGATTTAGATTTGAGGTTGTCTTATTTGTTTGTGAAAAGTAAAATGACGCATTTCCCCACCTTACTTATTTTAACCTCTCCAATAACATTAACTCCATTATATAAATTATAAAAACATATTATATTTATAAAATATAAAGTACATTAATTTTTTGAGCTTTTGAGTTAAATTTGAACTCATGAAATATTTAATTGTACCATGATTGGATGGAGCATGTGCACTGGTATGCCCTTTTGTCACAAGTGATTCAAGAAGCCCCCAAGACAATCAGCCCACTTGCCTTCAACTTGAGTGGGGGAGCAAGCCAATCATAATCATGCCCTCCTCATGACAATTATAACTTCAACAAACTAGCAAGATAGGACTATGGGAAGAAGCCATAGGAACAACAAGGTCACCAACATAACTACAAGCCAAGACCTACTGAACTCCCACGCTCTTGCTTTATCTGTGGGGAGAAGCATTATATTCATGGTTGCCCTACAAATAAGAAGAGTAATGCCCTTGTTTCCTAGCTCAGTGATGATGAGCAAAGTGATGAGGAGAAGTCCGTGTAGGCATTAAGAGTGGGCGCCCTACAACTTTTTAATGCTATGGTGAAGAAAGGGGCCAATCCCAAATGGCCCAAGAAAGCCCAAAAGGGTCTGAAGTATGTAGACATTCTCCTCAGTGGGAAGCCGACTCAGGCCCTAGTTGATATAGGGGCATCCCACAACTTCATTTCGGTCACCAAGGCCAGACGACTTAACCTGAACATTGCCATGGAGACAGGGTGGCTCAAGGTTGTGAACTGTTGTGCCAAGGCTATTGAAGGTGTGACTCATGGGGTTGATCTCCAAGTTGGGCCTTGGACAGGAAAAATTGACTTATGAATGGTACCCCTGGACGACTTTCAAGTTTGTTTGGGAATGGCTTTCTAGACGCAGGTGGAAGCAACACTCATGCCTTACATCGACTCATTATGCATATTGGACGAGCGCTCCCCTTGCATGGTACCTGTCTTGACTTCCACTAGAGTCCACAAAAAGCAAGTATTAATGCTACAACTTTTCCTTGTTGAAGACCTGTTTGAAGCCAACAATAAGAATGTAGTAGAGAAGACCTCTACACTCTCTGTCGAAATAGTCATTTCAAAGCCCGACCTTGACGCCAACATGAAGCGGCAGTCCATCAAGCCATCCTTAGCATTCTAGCAACAACGGTTGTTCTATCCACCATCAACTGTCAAACAAAGTAGAAGATCCAAAACCATCTCTAACTACAACCATACCTACTACTACAACCATTAGGGAGAGCAAGTGCCACCCAATCCATATAGTGACCACTTCCACGTCTTTCCTCAAGCCAAACCACGTAGTAGCCTTGTGAGCAACTATCCTTGGGCAAAAATGCATGGGAACAAATCCCCCACCAATCCAAAACATCATTTTGACTGTGACCTGACCTAAACTTTGCCTACAACTAAGCCAAATAACTAATCTCTTACCTCGAAGCAGCCATGGATAGGGATGCAAATGGATTAGATCATGATTTGATTTGAGATCCGGTTCTATTTGATCTAATTCGGATCACCCCTAGTCAGATCTTTGGATTGGATCCTATTATCCAATCAGAAATCAGATCAGATTCGAATCACCCCCTATCTGATCTGAGAAGATCTGATCTGATGTGTTATATATTTATATATATATATATATATATAATACATATATATGTTATTTATTTATTTATAAATATCTTATTTATATTGTATTTTTATAAATTTTTTATATTATTTATTTTTATAAAAAACATGTATATATATGATGAAAATAATTAAAAAATTCTTGTATTTTTTATTTTTTCTTTATTTAAATTGGTATATTTTATTTTTTCTTTTAATAATTTATTAATTTTTAAAGAAAACAAGTTGGACCAAATCAGATTCGAAGATCCAAAGATCTGATAGGATTCGAATTCGGATCAAGTCCTATTAGATCCGATCGAATCATTGGATCGGATCAGATCTGACATGAACAATGTCAGATCAGATTCGAATTAGGATAATCCCTAGCCAAGAAAGGACATAGGCTATGGCTTAGCCATAGGATTCCCCAATCAAATGAGCCACTTCAACCCTACCACCCAAGTGTACACCCAGGTCTTAAACGACAACATGTTTGTGAAATAGTCAAAGAATCCTCCTTCCATTCTAGCAACTCCAAGAATCGAGCCTAATGTGCACTAGCCAGGCCTAGCCCATTACGGGCTGGGAGGCCCAGCCCACTAATGCCTGATAGTGCCAGCCACAGCAGGGGGAAGCCCTGCTGCCTTCGTACGGAGCCAACCGCGGAGTAGTTAGGCATACCCGCAAGGACCTGTCGCCTGACTTCATACGGCCCTCATCTGGTGCATTCATCTCCACCTACCTCCATCTCGCTCAAGTATAAATATGAGGTAACTCTCCCTTGACAAGGGATCCAGATCCCAGAATTCTGATACAATTCTCTCATTTACTTCCAGCACCTACCTCGCTTCCTTGGCATTTACTCCTGGGGACCCAATGCACCCAAGGACCTCCATTGAGACCTCGTCTGCACCTTCTTCTACCTTACACCTCGTAGTAACTTGACGTAGGAGCTTCTGCCTTGGGTCTCCACCCGGGGCCTCTAACATCTCTTGTTTTGTAGTACCTCAGATCTCCAGGAACCTCTTTGCCGAGATGACGATCTACAGTCCTTGGCTTCTACCGTACTCAGAAGGGAGCTCCTCGCCTCAGCCTACAGTCTTCAGCCTTGGATTACCCTCTTCAGAGTCCTCAAATCCTTCGGCCTGCCTTCAGAACTTGGGAGTGAATTTACCTCGGCTAATCCGAGCGGCAACAATTGGCGCTGTCTGTGGGAACGTTGCTAAGACAATTCCTTAAAAAACAAAAATTATATATAGTTTCTAAGCCCTCCTAAGTTCGAAAGCCATGGTGCGAAGAAACAGGAATAACCAGAACCTGGTCACCGATGAGCAATTTCAGGCTGTCCTTGATCGTTTGAACCGCCTCACTCAGTGCATGGAAGAAGCCTGCCCCCGAGTAGGAGGTCCCTCTCGAGGTGATCGCCCCACTGGGGTGTTAGAGGATCAGGGCCGATGCGAGAACGTCGAGCCCCTAGCCCTCGGCTAGGGCAACAACTTGCTGTCGAGCAATCGAAGTTGGGCAACAACCGACCCCCTAGTTC